CGCCATGGAGAGCCGTGATTTGCCGTGGAGGGAAAGGTCTAGGAAGAAGGTGAGGGAGGGGAAGGAGAGGGGAGTGACTGAGGGGCGAGGAGGCCCACAGCTGAGCCGGCGATATGCGAAGGCGCGGAACGAGCGCTCTTCCAACGAATGTTCTTCCAACGAATGGTTCTTTAGTGAAGGCTCTTGAGACAAGGGACAGGAATGGTTTCTGATAGAGTGGTGACGATGCTCCTGAGTATGGTGTCCAGTGGAGGTGGAGACTGGTGAAGGTTCGGCAGGGTAAGTTTCTCCCCCGCTTAGGGTTGGGGGGTTGGGGGGAGAGGCAGAGGTGTGGGAAGAGTTGGTGCCACTGCTGCAAGGAATCATCCTTAGCTGCTGCTGCTGCTGCTGCTGCTGATGTTGCTGCGGTTGCTGCTGCCGGTGCCGTTGATGCGGCTTCGTTTGCGGCTTACTCGGCGGTTCAATCAGCGCCAGCGACTGTCCGCGGCGTGACTGTAACGAGGGCCACATGTCCCGGGCGAGCGTCGCCCACAGACTCTCGTCCCGCGCCACGGCCCGCCACTGCGCGCTGACGCACGCCGCCCGCGCGATTTCGCGCGCGGAAAGGCAGCAGAGGACGCGGTATAAGACGCTATCATCCAGGGGGAAGGCGGAAGGGAGGGCGGAAGGGGAAGGGCTGGCGGAGGGGAAGAGGGAAGAGCAGGAGCTGGCGGAAGGGCAGGCGGAAGAGCAGGCGGAACAATCACGTGGATGCGAGGGGTCAGAGGCGGAGGCGGAGGGGAAAGCGGAGAGACAAGCCGAAAGCGCTAGTCCATCGCCAAGCTCTAGTTTTTTTTCTTCGTTCGGCCGTGACTCGTTCGACCGTGACGAAACACACTCGCTGCGGGAATCCTCTACACCGGCAAGACAGCTCGAAAGGGCTATACCATCGCGTGGTTCTTGCGTTCGGTCCTCGTTCGACCATGACGAAACACACTCGCTGCGGGAATCCTCTCCTAAAGAGCCCGCCATCTCGCCCGCGCGCGACGTACTTAATCTTAGACGTCGTAGGTCCCCGAAACTGCAAATTCGAACGGGACTAATTGCTTTCTTTCGTTCCCTACTCTCGTGTCATCTAGAGGCATTCTTTCGGAATCTGGTCCACCCAACTCGGTTCAAAAGAACTCCTGGTGGAAATACCGCTTCGTGATGCTAGCAGTGCTAGGTGGCCAATAGAGGTGGAAGAAGATCCGACAGCCTCTAGAGGCGGACAGCCATAACGAAGCAGAGCTGGCGACCAGTGGGAAAGAGGCTCGGGCGACCGAAAGCGACGGGTGGGACGAGTTTTGCTGCCGCAATTCTCGAGGATGATGGGCAGGTGGAGGGGGAGAGAGAGAAGGCATTCTCGTGCGCGATAGTGGGCAATTTCAATCTCATCGTCCGAGTGTAGCTGAATAGAAAATGATTCTGGAAGTTATGCCCACAGATCAAGAGTTATACTCACTATACTATGTGAGGATGGAGACTGAATCTGCATGATAATCAACTGGTAGCTTTTTTATCTTCATAAATTCCAACATGGAGAACTTTTCTGTTCAGGACATGAGTATGTACAGCGAAGGCCTTTGGGAAGGTCAAGAAAACAAGGCACAAGACTCTCTCTACTGCATTTCCTTCCGGTCGTTCAAAGAGCCACCTCTTATTAGCCTTCTAAAGGCATTCTCTATGGTAAGGGGAGGCTCTGGAGACAGCCAAGGATGCTGCAGTATCTCCTTGCATGAAGGCCGCTTCGAAGGGTCCCGTGACATCATGGCTGCCACCAATGACACAGCGGATGGCGAAACATGGTTCCAAATTTGGTCACTGAACAGAACCTCGGGTGCAAAATCCAAAATGGCCCCGGTTTCAATGTCTGTTCGGGGGTATTGTCCTGACAGGAGCACATACAGGACAACCCCAAGGCTCCACATGTCTGCTTTGGTGGTGTACCACCGGCCTTTGGCCACCTCAGGTGCCTTGTAGAGCCGTGTTCCTACATTTCCCGTTGCGAATCCATTTGCAGGTAGGATCAACGCCAAGCCGAAATCTGCTAGCTTCACAGTGTACGGCCCTTCTTGCCTTAAATCCTGAGACCCTTGCCTCCCGTGGTGCTGCTGTTGCTTCTGGCGGTGCTGCTGCTGCGGATGCTGCAGGGGCTGGCTTTTACCTTTGTGGTCTGGTATGGGCCGCATTTGCTGATGTTGCCACTGAGCCTGTTGGTTTTGCCGTCCTTTCAGGCTGCTGCTGCTGCTGCTGCTCCTGTCTGGGTTCAGTGCTGCTCGCCTTGCATCATCAATCCTTAAGCTGTTGCCACGCTGAAGGTCCCCTCTCTGTCTCTGCTGCTCCTGCGGCGTGTTGTGGCACAGCAGCACGTTCTCGAGCTTTATATCTCTGTGGATCACATGCCTGCGATGGCAGTGACGGACTCCCACCACCAGCTGACGGAAAATGTCAGCCGTAAGCTTTTCTGGCAAACCCTGACGGTTAGGGGAGCCGCTGCTGACGACAGCAGCCGGTACTGCTGCTGCTACTGCCGCTACAGCTGCTGCCGCGCGGTTTATGGGGCTCCAGAGTCGCGGCTTCGCAGGGCTGTTCGTCGCACGCCGCTGCTGATAGTTTCGCAGGAGCGTTAGAAGGTCGCCAGCGTCGCAGAGCTCCAGGAGGAGTCGCGTGCGATGGGCGTTGTCGTACACGCCCTTCATAGCGACGATGTGCCTGTGCGACCCCACGTGTTTCAACGCGCGAATCTCGTTGGAAAGAGCCGTCATTCGAAGTCGCCGAATGTGCGCCTGTGCAGTGTCGTCCTCGATATAACGCACCCCGTTTGCCTCTTCGTAACGGATCCCTTCGTCACTGAAGCTTCTCGTCTTGTGCACCGTCTTGCACGCAAAGGACTCCACGTGGCGCTCGGCGGTTGGCTGAGGCCCTTCCAGGCTGGAACTGCGTCGGATGGAGGGCACGGCGGGCCAGCGCTGAGTCACATCCCTCCCTTTCTGACGTGGCCGCAGGATAGTATCGATTGCCGCCTCTTGCGCCGCCCGTTGCGCCGCTGCTGCTGCCACTTCCGGCTCTTGCGCCGTCCCTTGCGCCGTCTCTTGCGCCGTATCTTCCGCCGTCTCTTGTGCCGTCTGCTGCTGCTGCTGCTCTTGCGGCGAATCCACCGGCCACATCACTTGCTGCTGCTCTCCTTCATACTCGTTACTAGCAGCAGCCCGGTTACTGGTACAGCCAGGGTCCGACTCAGACCGTGACATGATCGAATTAGATTCGATACGATTTGAGTGGGACTCGGAGACCACCCGCTGGTGACAGATCTCGACCACGCCGAACGCGCCTTGCCCCAGAAGCTCCCCGATTTCGTACTTCGGCGTGAAACCCGCCGACGGCTGCCGCCGATGGCGCTGGTGCGTGCCGCCTCGTAAACTACTACTTGTGTTACTGGTTGGACTAGTTGCGACGTTGCAATCGTCGTCGAGAAGGTCGTCGCGCGCTACTATTAGGCTGCGACGTTCTGGAATGACGAGCATGAATCCGCCGTCGCCAGCGTCGTGGGCGATGTTGTTCTCGAAATTGGGTGCCATATTTGCGGCGCCTAAAAATCGTTGGGCGCGGTTCCGACGTCGAAAATGTGCAATATCTCAACAATACGGCGTGTTACGCCTCAAAAAGACTCGGACTTCTGAATAAAGGTCGACGGAGCATACGGCGTGTTCCGCAGCAATAAGCTTTTCTCAGAAGTCGCGGAGGGGGTATATTTAGAAACGAGAGGAGAATGCGAAGGAGGGATGACGAATGCGACTGCAAATCAAAGCTTAGTCGACGCTGATCGAGAGAAGAATGACTCCCTTCCTCGAGAGAATAAAGGGACTATGTGCAGCAAGTTCGGTTCAGGCCGACGCTGGGTACTGGGACGTAGACGCGTGCTAGCAGTGAGGACATATATGAAGGCATAGACGAGGAGGGCATATCTTTGCCCACACAGGCCTCAGTGTTAGCAGATCTCCGGACATAGTTCCCGTGAGCGCGGTTAGGAAGACGGTTTGACGAGCAGTGAGGACATGTCTTCGCCCTGCCCACACAGACAGTGCGCAGCAGCTACTAGCTGCTACTCGACTCGACCCAAGCCAAGCCAGCTAAGTAAGAGTTCCACTGGTCCTCGCAGGCCCAGCTTCGCCGAGGTAACGTACGTGGACTGCCACGTTGACATAACTGCTCTAACAGGTGGGAGCGTGGGTGTGAAAAACCCGAAACCAAGTCCGACTGGGCCTCTCTGTGAGGCAAGAACAAGGAAGAAGGAAACGAAAGTGGGTGGTGAAATAGTTCTGGCAGTGGGAGAGCCATGGCGTGGCGTGGCGTGGCGTGGTGTGGTTCGGTGTGTTTTGGTGTGGTATGGTATGGTGTTGGTGTTGGCGCTGGTGTTGGTGTGTTGCTTGAATTCGGTTGAGTTCGAGGAAGGAGGATTTCCAATTCGACACAGTGAGCCAATTGCGGGCGAATGTCGCATGGCCCCCGTTTTTTGCCAGCATTCACTTCTGTCCAGCTACTCGGAAACCCGAGGCGCAATTGGTGTAATTGGCCTCGCTGGGCTTCTGCTCCTTGGTTGGGCTGTCTTGCCTCATGCTGGCAGGCTGGCGGATCTGATGCCGAGCTGGACAAATTAGCAGCTACATGAACGCAGGTTCGAAATCACAAATGTTACAAATTTCTCCCGCGCTCGTCAATACCGTGAAAGCTAGTTACTGCGAACGCTGGTTGCCAGCTGGCGACAGGATCCCCTTGCGATTAGCTGTCAGCAGGATCCTTCGTTCTCCTTCGCAGCGGCCCTCACCAGAAGTCCTCCGAATTCAACCTCCACAACCTCCAGAAAATTTGTACTCGATTTAATCTGAATCAGCGAGGCGCGCTCGTTCCCCACGTTGTGTAGTGCAGGTGAACTCCAAGATGGCCTTTGTATGCCTCATACATGTGTGCAAACCGTTCGAATATAGAAACCAATTGCATTTTACGCAATAGCAATGCAAACTCTCAACGATTTATGACGATAGCCTCACCATCATCCCCTTGCTCCCACATGTCCCAAGATGCCCCAACTGCCACATTACTTACAATTTCCCAGTAGCAGCAGCCTCAGCAAGAGCTAGCCTAGCCTCGTCGTCCCTCCCCTGCTGCTGCAGGTTCACCACCAGAGACCCTGCAACCACGAGTGCGGCACCCCCCATGGGCCCCATCCTCATTACAGAATGACTCACTAAAGGTTCCCTGTGGCTGCAGCCTCAGCAAGCGCTAGTCTTTTTGGCAGTAGCTCAGCCTCGCCGTCCCTCCCCTGCTGCTGCAGGTTCACGACCAGCGACCCTGCAATCACCAGCTCCTACTCCACTCCACCCTCTCATCTCATCCTCGCTACAAACTGACTCATTACAAGCTGCCCCGTTACAAGTTCCCAGTAGCAGCAGCCTCAGCTAGAGCTAGTCTCTTGAGCAGCGGTTCAGCCTCGTCGTCCCTCCCCTGCTGCTGCCGGCTCACCACCAGAGACCCTGCAAGCACCACTCCTGTACCACTCACCCGTCTCATCCTCGTTACAAACTGACTCGATACAAACTACCTCACTACAAGTTCCCAGTGGCAGCAGCCTCAGCAAGGGCTAGTCTCTTAAGCAGTGGCTCAGCCTCGTCGTCCCTCCCCTGCTGCTGCAGGTTCACCACCAGCGACCCTGCAACCACGAGTGCAGCGTCCCCCATGGGCCCCACTGCTGCCTCCATCCTCGCTAGAGCCTTCCTCAGTAGCTGCTCCGCTGCCTCCGCCCGCCCCGTTGCCATCAGAATGAGAGCCAGATTGCGCTGCCCTTGCGCTGGGGGGAGAAGAGAGAGGGGGGTGGGGAGGAGAGTCAAACCAAGTCAATCCAAGTCAAACCATGTCATCGAAGTCAAACCAAGTCATCGAAGTCAAACCAAGTCAATCCAAGTCAAACCAAGTAAACCCAAGTCAAACCAAGACATTCAAGTCAAAAGGAAGCAAAGCTCCGCCAGCAAATCCACAGTGTCTCCCCGCATTCCTGCTTTCTCCACCACCCCTTCAGCAATCATCACATGCTCCTCGCCAACAACTCGGCCCCTTCAAACCGCTCCACCTGGGCCACACACAGCGCCAGGCACAGTGCCACACACAGCGCCAGGCACAGTGCCACACACAGCGCCAGGCACAGTGCCACACACATCGCCAGGCACAGTGCCACACACAGCGCCAGGCACAGCGCCAGGCTTGACCTTGTGTGCCCATTACCCAAATCTTACCTAGCAGCTCAACAGTGTCTCCCCGCGTTCCCGCCTTCTCCACCACCCCTTCAGCAATCATCACATGCTCCCTTGCGAGCCCCTCGGCCTCCTCCAACCGCTCCATCTGAGCCAGACACAGCGCCAGCCGCTCGATCGGCACGGCCAACCGCGCGTCGCCAGCTGGCACCGCTGACCTGGCGATCTGCAGCGCGCGGCGCAGGAGGCGCTCGGCGCCCTCTGATTGGCCGGTGGTCATGCGAGACTGGGCGAGTTGGATGAGGGGCGGGACGAGGGCCGGGGAGAGCGGGCCGACTGCAAGCTCTTTGGCGGAAAGAAGCTTTTCTCTGATGGCGCATGCGTCTTCGTCCCTGTGAACAGGTGGAGGGGCGAGAAGAAGGGAAAGGAATTGTGTGTAATGAGTCGATTTTTGAGTCGACTAAAAAATCGACTCATTACAAACAGGTGGAGGGGGGAGAAGAAGAAGGAACTGGAATCGGGCGAGTTGGACCAGGGGAGGGACGAGAGCGGGGGCCAGCGGGCCGACTGCTAGCTCCTTGGCGGATAGGAGCTTTTCTCGAATGGCACATGCGTCTTCATCCCTGTGAAGGGGTGGAGGGGCGAGGGGAGAAAGGCGATGGTGGAGTGAAGAAGCGCATGAGGGCGGGGGAGAGCGGTCCCACTGCGAACTCCTTGGCGAAGAGAAGCTTCTCTCGAATGGCACAAGCGTCCTGGTCCCTGTGAGGAGAGGGTGGGAGAGCCGAGGGTAGGGGTCCCCAGTGCTGGCTCCTTTGAGGAGAGGAGTGTCTCTCTGATGGCACAAGCGTCCTGGTCCCTGTGAGTTGGATGAGGGGAGCGACGGGAGCCGAGGTTAGGGAAGGAGAGAAGCTTCTCTCGAATGGCACAAGCGTCCTGGTCCCTGTGAGGAGAGGGGGCGAGAGCCGAGGATAGGGGTCCCAGTGCTAGCTCCTATGAGGAGAGGAGAGTCCTTGTGAGGGCGAGAGTGGGAGAGGGGAGAAGGGAAAGGGACTGGCCGCTTCAACTCTGCAAAGAAGTGGAGGGGAGGGGGATTGGACGAGAGAGGGGTGGGAGGATGGGGCATGGGGATGGTCAGGTGGGGTTGGACGAGAGAGGGGTGGGAGGATGGGGCATGGGGATGGTCCGGTGGGGTTGGACGAGAGAGGGGTGGGAGGATGGGGCATGGGGATGGTCCGGTGGGGTTGGACGAGTTGGATGAACAGGAGGGGATGAGGGCGGGCGGGGGAGAGCGGAGTGGCCCCACTGCTAGATGTGGAGTGCATCACACACACCTGTCTAGAACATCGTAGAGCATTGAACGCACACCTGGCTAGATGTGGAGTGCTCGATCTGCGCCTGCTCAAACGCCGGGAAGGCCGAGGCACTGAGTGGTTGATTGACCACATCCCCAGCACAGCACTGTGTACCACATGCCCCTTGAACCAACCAACCCCACACGCACCTGTCCAGAATATCGTAGAGCATTGACAGCTCGATCCGCGCCGGCTCAAAAGTGGGACGGCCGAAGCTCCGAGTGCATTCACCAGAACACAGAGATTCCCCCCCTTTTTTTTTTTTCACAAAAAAAGACCCCCCATATATTACCAGCACGTACACTGCACACACCCCTCCCACACACACCTGTCCAGAATGTCGTAGAGCATGCTCAGCTCGATCTGCGCCTGCTCAAATGCGGGGAACGCCGAGGCACCGAGCGCGTTCACCAGCGCGCGGGGAGTCCCCGCCAGCTCATCGTCGCCCCACGCCGGCTCATCCGCACCCCCTGGCAGCTCAGCGTTCGCCGGCCGGCTACCCATCCTCCTCTGCTTCTCCACTGCCTCCTCAAAGATCCGAAGACCGCTCTCCAACACTCCTGCTGCTAGGTCAGGGCGACCTGAATGGGAGGAGGATAAGGGGCAAGGGGATGGGGGAGGGGGGACGGGGGGAAGATTCGGAGATGTCAAACTTCCTCACTGTTAGCCACTGGTTCTGAGTCGTTATAAACCCCCTTTTTTGACTTGCTATGAGCCTTTTTCCTTATGACTCGTTACAAGCCCCCTCCCTTAGACTCGCTATAAGCAACTTTCCTTTGATTGCACCAAATACACACCCCCTTCTATTGACCCATTCCTGTGACTCGTTACAGGCCACTTTCCTTGAATCGTTATACGCCCACGGTCCACCCACCTTGCCCCTGCCTGAGTTGCGCACGTGTGAACTCCACTGTTGCTGCCTCCATCGACGTCAACCCCTCCCTCCACCCTCTCTTGACAGTCGCTCCATACCCTCTCTTGACTCGTTATAAGCCTGCTCCCTTTGACTCGTTTTAAGCCTGCTTCTTTTGACTCGTTATAAGCCACATTCGTTATAAGCCCGCCCACCTTGCGCCTGCCTGACTTGTGCAAGGGTGAATTCCACTATTGCTGCCTCCATCGAAGTCAGCCCCTCCTTCTCCACCAAAATGTCCTTGGCGCTGTTAGTGTGTGGGGACGAGGGGAGACGAGGAGAGGTGGGAAGAGGAGAGAGGGGAAGAGGAGAGAGGGGAAGAGGAGAGAGGGGAAGAGGAGAGAGGGGAAGAGGAGAGAGGGGAAGAGGAGAGAGGGGAAGAGGAGAGAGGCGAAGAAGAGAGGAGGCGGAAAAATGTGAGAGAGAGGAGGCAGAGATTCAATGAGTCTGTGGAGGGCACTGCCAGTCGTCATCATTGGTGCCCTTCAATGAGTCTTTGAAGGGCACCGTCAATTCTCAGTCCCCCCCTCTCTACCAAAATATCCTTGGCACTCTTAGCGTGTGAGGGGGACTAGAGGAAACAAGAACAATAAATAGCGGACAAATGAAGTGAAAAAACCCACTCACCGCAGAATGCTCCCTTCGGCTTCTTCCACCTTCCCCCCCTCCATCTGGATCTGTGTCAGTCGCACCAGCATCGTCGCCACTCCTCGGGACCTCTCCCCCCTGGCGGCTTCATACAGCTCTGCTGCGCGCCTCTGCACCGACTCCGCCTCCTCAAACCTCTGGGCTTCAGCCAGGGCGTTTGCGAGGCTGCAAAGAGTGGAAGATTGGAGGTAGTGCTCGCCGCCTGCATAAAGGGAGAGAGAGAGGTGAAGTCATTGTACTGGGCTCGCCGCCTGGGCTAGACACACTGGGCCGCATTGTCATTGTCGATTGGGCTAGAAATACTGGGCCGCATACCCATGCGCTCTTCCCCCCAGCAAACTCATACGTCACCTCTCTCATGGGTAGAAATCCTGGCAGGAATCCTACCTGCTAGTTCTCTCGGCACACTCACTCACAGCCCGCCCAGAGAGGGATGAAGGAGACTGTCCGCCCAGAGAGGGCTGAAGGAGACTGTCTACGTATAGCGCTTAAGAGAGCACGCCAACTCCGCTTTTTCACCACCCGCACGCCAGAGGCTGACGGGAGAACGTTGGATTCGATCCGCAGCAAGCCTTGTGCGGGTGTTGACGGCCTCCTAAGAGTAGATCTAGGCCAGCAATAGGCCCTCATCAGCGCACCCGCACGCCAGAGCCTGTTTCCCGCTTACCTGCCAGCTCTCTCTGCACGTTGACAGCGCGTTTATACAGCTTGATCGAGTCGTCCCACATGTCCATGCCATAGCACATGTCCCCTGCATTCTCCAGTAGGTCGTCCAAGAGAGGCTCGGCAGGGTGTGATGCCACAAGAGACAGGGCCTGAGGGGAGGGAGTAGTGGAAAGGGGGGGGGGGAGGAGAACGCTTTTGAGTCGACTCAAAACCAAGAGAGGCTCGGCAGGGTGCGATGCCACAAGAGACAGGTAGACATGGGCAAAAAAAATCGCATCGCATCGCATCGCATCGCATTTAATCGCGTTTTTGCGATGGCAATGTTTTTTTTTTTTTTTTATCATCGCGCGATGCGATGAATTAATATCGCGCGATTTAATTTAAATCGCATTTTAATCGCGCTTAAAAAACGCGATTTAAATGCGATATGCGATTTTTAAAAAATCGCACGCGATATTGCACTGAAACCCACTCTGAAACCCACTACGAAACCACACTGGTTATTTGCACTCTAGCTTAACGACTGCCCGTGAGTCAATTTCCCCGCAGCCATGGTTTTTTTCTAATTTTTTGGGGTGCTTTTTAATTCTGTTTTAAAACGCGATGCGATTTAAAATCGCATTTTGCGATTTAATTAAATATCGCATGCGATTTTTTAATACATCGCGGGTAAAATGCGATGTGCGATTTTTTTTTTTTTGGAAAAATAAATCGCGCGATGCGATTTAAAATCGCATCGCATTTTTAAACATCGCACCTGCATGCGATGCGATTTAAATCGCAATCGCATTTTGATCATGTCTAGAGACAGGGCCTGCGGGGAGGGAGTAGTGGAAAGGGGGGGGGGGAGGAGAACGCTTTTGAGTCGACTCAAAACCAAGAGAGGCTCGGCAGGGTGCGATGCCACAAGAGACAGGGCCTGCGGGGAGGGAGTAGTGGAAAGGGGGGGGGGGGAGGAGAACGCTTTTGAGTCGACTCAAAACCAAGAGAGGCTCGGCAGGGTGCGATGCCACAAGAGACAGGGCCTGCGGGGAGGGAGTAGTGGAAAGGGGGGGGGGGGAGGAGAACGCTTTTGAGTCGACTCAAAACCAAGAGAGGCTCGGCAGGGTGCGATGCCACAAGAGACAGGGCCTGCGGGGAGGGAGTAGTGGAAAGGGGGGGGGGGGAGGAGAACGCTTTTGAGTCGACTCAAAACCAAGAGAGGCTCGGCAGGGTGCGATGCCACAAGAGACAGGGCCTGCGGGGAGGGAGTAGTGGAAAGGGGGGGGGGGGAGGAGAACGCTTTTGAGTCGACTCAAAACCAAGAGAGGCTCGGCAGGGTGCGATGCCACAAGAGACAGGGCCTGCGGGGAGGGAGTAGTGGAAAGGGGGGGGGGGGAGGAGAACGCTTTTGAGTCGACTCAAAACCAAGAGAGGCTCGGCAGGGTGCGATGCCACAAGAGACAGGGCCTGCGGGGAGGGAGTAGTGGAAAGGGGGGGGGGGGAGGAGAACGCTTTTGAGTCGACTCAAAACCAAGAGAGGCTCGGCAGGGTGCGATGCCACAAGAGACAGGGCCTGCGGGGAGGGAGAAGTGGAAAGAGGGGGGGGGGAGGAGAAAGGGGGGATGAGGAAGAAAGGAGGAGGGAAGGAAGGGACTAACCCACTCCACTGCAACCCACTCCACTGCATCCCACCCACTGCAACCCACCCACTGCATCCCTCCCACTGCAACCCTCCCACTGCAACCCACCCACTGCATCCCACCCACTGCAACCCACCCACTGCATCCCTCCCACTGCATCCCTCCCACTGCATCCCACCCACTGCAACCCACCCACTGCATCCCACCCACTGCAACCCACCCACTGCATCCCTCCCACTGCAACCCTCCCACTGCAACCCACCCACTGCATCCCACCCACTGCAACCCACCCACTGCATCCCTCCCACTGCATCCCTCCCACTGCATCCCACCCACTGCAACCCACCCACTGCATCCCACCCACTGCAACCCACCCACTGCATCCCTCCCACTGCATCCCTCCCACTGCATCCCACCCACTGCATCCCACCCACTGCATCCCACCCACTGCATCCCACCCACTGCATCCCACCCACTGCAACCCACCCACTGCATCCCACCCACTGCATCCCTCCCACTGCATCCCACCCACTGCATCCCTCCCACTGCATCCCACCCACTGCAACCCACCCACTGCATCCCACCCACTGCATCCCACCCACTGCATCCCACCCACTGCATCCCACCCACTGCATCCCACCCACTGCATCCCTCCCACTGCAACCCTCCCACTGCATCCCTCCCACTGCAACCCTCCCACTGCAACCCACCCACTGCATCCCACCCACTGCAACCCACCCACTGCATCCCACCCACTGCATCCCACCCACTGCATCCCACCCACTGCATCCCTCCCACTGCAACCCTCCCACTGCATCCCTCCCACGGCATCCCTCCCCTCACCTGACTCATAAGTTCTTCCCCCCTCGCTTCGCGCCCCATCCGCAGCAGCAGCTAGTTCAGACCTCGTGAAAGACACTCTTTCTTACCCTCCCCCGCCCCTCCACTCACCTGGTACATCCACTCTCTTCCCCTCTCCTCCCGCCCCATCCCCAGCAGCAGCTGCTTTGGACCTCCTTTAATTTACCAACCTTACCCACTCACCAGTCACCTGGTCCACGAGCGCTCGCCCCCTCTCCTCCCCGCCCATCCCCAGCAGCAGCTGCTTTAGACCTCGTGAGTGAGATTCTTACGCACCCTTCCCCTCCCCTCCCCCACTGCATCCCCCCCCTCCCCTCCCCCACTGCATCCCCCCCCCTCCCCTCCCCCACTGCATCCCCCCCCTCCCCTCCCCCACTGCATCCCCCCCCCCCCTCCCCCACTGCATCCCCCCCCTCCCCTCCCCCACTGCATCCCCCCCCTCCCCTCCCCCACTGCATCCCGCCCCTCCCCTGACCCGCTGCATCCCGCCCCTCCCCTGACCCGCTGCATCCCGCCCCTCCCCTGACCCGCTGCATCCCGCCCCTCCCTTGACCCGCTGCATCCCCCTCCCTTGTACTCCTTACCTGATTCATCAGCTCTCGCCCCCTCTCCTCGTGCCCCATCCCCAGCAGCAGCTGCGACAGCGCCAGCAGCACTGCTGCCTGCTCCACCCCCGCCTCTCCCCCTGCCACCTGTGTGAGATAGAGGGAGCGACAGGGAAGGGGAGGGGAGGGGAGAGAAGAGAACGTCAACCATCCCCAGCAGCAGCTGCGACGGCGCCAGCGGCACTGCTGACTGCTCCACCTCCGCCCCTCCTGCTGCCACCTGTGTGAGAGATAGAGGGAGCGACAGGAAGAAGGGAAGAGTTTCAACCCATCCCTAGCAGCAGCTGCGACAGCGCCAGCAGCACTGCTGCTTGCTCTACTCTCGCCTCCCCTGCTGCTGCCTGTTTGTGTGTGTTGGGGGGGGGGGGGAGGGAGGTGCGTGTGTGTGTGTTTGAGAGAGGAGGGAGGGGGGGACAAAAGCTTAGGCATCCTCATCAGCAGCTGCAACAGCGCCAGCAGCACTGCTGACTGCTACATCCCCGCCCCTCCTGCTGCCACCTGGCAAGACGAAGTAAGGGGGGTGCCACTGTCCCCTCCCACGACCCCCCCCATCCCCCTACCCCCCCCCTCCCCATCTCCCCCCACCCTCTGCCCACTCAGCTGCCCCATCATTTGAGCCTCGTTTGCAGCCACCAGCGCTCCTCGTCCCCCTCCTGGAACATCTGCACAGCGTTGCCGTCCTTCTGCCCCGCTCCCCCATCCCCCATCCCCCATCCCCCATCCCCCATCCCCCATCCCCCATCCCCCATCCCCCATCCCCCCCTCTCCCCTCCCTCACCTGCCCCATCACTTCAGCTTCGTTTGCAGCCACCAGCGCCTGCGCGCCCTCCTCGCCCCCCTCATGGAACATCTGCACGGCATGGCTGAACATCTCGCACCCTCCAGTACCTGTGTCCCCTCCCCCCCACCCCATCTCCCTCCTTCCCCCCTTCCTCTCCTCTGCCCACCCACCTGCCCCGTCACTTCAGCCTCGTTGACAGCCACCAGCGCCAGCGCGCCCTCCTCGCCCCCCTCCTGGAACATCTGCACAGCATGGCAGAACATCTCAGCCAGCTCGTTCCTCTAACACAACCCCCCCACTCTCCCTCACCTGCCCCATCACTTCCGCCTCGTTTGCAGCCACCAGCGCTAAAGAGCCCTCCTCGTCGCCCTCCTGGAACAGCTGCACGGCGTTGCTGAACATCTCAGCCAGCTCGTTCCAACCCCCCCACTCTCCCTCACCTGCCCCATGACTTCCGCCTCGTTTGCAGCCACCAGCGCCAGAGACCCCTCCTCGTCGCCCTCCTGGAACAGCTGCACGGCGTTGCTGAACATCTCAGCCAGCTCGTTCCAACCCCCCCACTCTCCCTCACCTGCCCCATGACTTCCGCCTCGTTTGCAGCCACCAGCGCCAGAGACCCCTCCTCGTCGCCCTCCTGGAACAGCTGCACGGCGTTGCTGAACATCTCAGCCAGCTCGTTCCAACCCCCCCACTCTCCCTCACCTGCCCCATGACTTCCGCCTCGTTTGCAGCCACCAGCGCCAGAGACCCCTCCTCGTCGCCCTCCTGGAACAGCTGCACGGCGTTGCTGAACATCTCAGCCAGCTCGTTCCAACCCCCCCACTCTCCCTCACCTGCCCCATGACTTCCGCCTCGTTTGCAGCCACCAGCGCCAGAGACCCCTCCTCGTCGCCCTCCTGGAACAGCTGCACGGCGTTGCTGAACATCTCAGCCAGCTCCCTCTTCAGTTCCGACCGCTCCGCTGCCAATTCGTGCCACTGGGGCAAGTATGCTGGTTGGCTGGGAGGGGTGATTGATAGGGGTGAACAGGTAGGGAAGGTGGTGCTTGGTTGAGTCACGGGTCACACCCCTCTTGCACCAGCTGCACGGCGTTGCTGGGCATCTCAGCCAGCTCAATCTTCAGTTCCGATCTCTCTGCTGCCAGCTCGTGCCACTGGGGCAAGTAGGCTGGCTGGCTGGCAGGGGAGGGAGGGAGGAGGCCAGACGGGGAAGGTGGTGCTTGGTTGGGACACGCCCTACTGGAGCATCTCAGCTCGTTGCTACACGGCGTTGCTGAACATCTCACCCAGCTCCCTCTTTAGCTCCAACCTCTCTGCTGCCAGCTCGTGCCACTGCGGTAGATAGGCTGGTTGGCTGGGTGGGAGGGGGGAGGGGGAAGTTAGGGATGGGGGGTGGGGCAGGGAGGGAGGCAGGGAGGCAGGAAGGTGTGAAGCGTGATGGTTGGAGTTGTAGTATTCCTCCCTCTTGGAACAGCTGCACAGCGTTGCTGAACATCTCAGCCAACTCCTCCCTGAGTTCAGCCCGCTCTGCTGCCAGCTCATGCCACTGCTACTGCTAACCCCGCTTACTTATCGCTTAAATTACACTTACTCGTCGTTTTAACTCTGCTCACTCACACATCTTCTAATCTCCACTTACTCATCATCTTCGTCTGTCTCTTCCTCCCCTCCCTTCCCCTCTTCCCTCCTCCTCCTCACCTCCTCCCCCGCCCGCCTGATCCCCTCTCCCTTCACCCCCCCCACCCCATCCCAGTCCGCCGCCCCTTCCTCCTCCAGCGCTTTCAGAGCCTCCGCAGCAGCTTCGGCCGAACCTGCATTGCAGCCACGGCCGCCCCAAACCATGTTAGCTCAAACGTGCAGTGCATCATAGAAAAAGAACGGCAGCTGTAGCAGAAGAACGGCAGCTGTAGCAGAAGACAAAAAGGCCAAGAAAACAGCAAAAGGAACAGACAGTGCAGCTTCGGCCGAACCTGCCATCGCAGCCATGGCGTTCCGAGCCTCCACAGCCCTCTGCGCCGCCAGCTGGCGCGCTCCCACTGGTGCGCCGGGCTGCTCAGCCGCCATCTGCAGCTGCCTTGCCTCGCGGAGCATCCCTAGAATACCGGCTGTCTGCTGCTCGATCTGCTGCACGTCGGCAGATATGGAGCTCCTGATGGGGGGGAGGGGAGGGAGGAGGACGAGGGCATCACCTCTTGAAGGCTCTCCACAACTGCCTCGCCTCTCGGAGGATCCCTATGTTGGCGGCTGTCTGCTGCTCGATATGCTGCACGTCCGCTGATATGGAGCTCCTGATGGGGGGAAGAAAGCCAGGGGTTGGGGTGGGGGGTGGGGGAGGGGAGGAGGAGGGAGAGAAGCATTGGGGAGGGGATCACCTCTTCAACGCTCTGCACAACAGGCGGCCCTCTCGGAGCATCCCTAGGATGGCGCCCGTCTGCTGCTCGATCTGCTGCACGTCCGCTGATATGGAGCTCCTGATGGGGGGAAGAAAGCCAGGGGTTGGGGTGGGGTTGGGATGGGGTGGGGGGGGGGGGGGGGAACGAGAAGGGGGAGTAGCATTGGGAAGGAGGTCACCTCTTCAAGGTTCCCTACACGTGATTTGCCTCTCTACAGCTCCTGTAGGGGAGAGAAGAACCAGGAGAGTGGGGCGAGTGATTGGGAAAGAAAGAGAGGGACTCACGTGGGTGTTCCACCAAAACAGAATCCACCAGCAACAGAACTTCCAGGGATTACTTGAATTCGAGCACTTACATAAGTTCCGACACTCACTTCAGTTGCAGCACCTCCTGGAGCCCAAGCTCCGGAGTGAGTGACGTGGCAGTGCGGTCCAGCTCAGCAAGCGTGGATGCTACCGACCTCTGCAGCTCCGCCAGATCACGCTCCATGTCAGCAATGGCCTCCCCTGCCAAGTCCACGTCATCATCATCATCATCCACCTCATCTGCATTAACCTCCCCTGATTGGCTGATGCCTCTCCTCTCACCCCTAGACACGGCTTCTATCCCCTTCAACATCTCCTCCATTCCCCTGTCTAAACCCGCTGTTTCTAAACCCCCTGAGTCCAAAACCCCCCTTAAACCCTTGCTTGAGTTGCCTGAATCGCTTGAGTCAAGAACCATCTGGTCAAACGTGGCAGAAAGGGATTCCAGCGAGGCAACTGCTGACATGGCACTTTCAAACATCCTCTCCGCCTCCTGCACCTCCTTCAGGTCCATGTTCAGCTCGCGGGCAAGCGCTTCTAGGTCCAAATCAGAACTTCCTGCCACGTCAGCACCCTCTGCCACGTCAGCACCGCTAGCCACGTCAGCATCTCGGGAACTGGAGCCTGTTTTCCCCTCGATTCCGCCCTCCAGGACTTCTGGATCCACCGCCTTGGGATTCCCAGCTTGTTTCCTCCTGCGGAGTTAAAAAATGTGATTGCAAAAAAAAAAAAAATCCTCATTTCCAGATTGCATTTGATAGTGAGTGACTGGAAGCTTGGAACGAGAGACTATCAAATGGGTTTCTTCCTTCCAGGGTTTAAGCAGCAGGGTTTAGCGAAGGGCAAGCGCCAGCGCTTGAAACGAACAAGCAGGAACTAGATTTACGCCGAGTCGGTACACAAGACACAAAATCTAAGCCGACCACGTACCCTTCGATTGAGTCACTTCCGTCTGTGTCACCTGCGCCAGCAGCAGACCCAGTAGCCGCCGTCGGAACAAGAAACCCTCGCCGCCTTTTATCGTTCGATCTACCGGTTCGTCGCGCACCTGCCTGGAAACTGCGCACCCACTGGCGAGCCGGCAGAGGCTGTGTGCTCCGGGCTGGCGTTACGCCGGCTGCGAGCGAAACGAGGCCTGTGGGTGAAATGCGGGCTGCGTCTATCGCAGTGCATCGCGCGGCGAGACAGCTCGACGCAGCTTGCGCCGAACACGCTATGAGGGACGAGGTGGCCATGGAGCCGCGCTGACGTGATTGAACGCGCTTTCAAGGCTCGTAAACTCGCTGAGAGAAAAAAGCCGCGCCTGAACAATGGTACAGCTGAACTGGTCTGACTGAAGTTGGGTGGATGGGTCCAAGTCAAAGAATATTTCAGTCGCCAAACCCGACTCCATTTTCTGCTGCAAAACACAATTTGAACCGGGAGAAGCCTAACCAAACCCAGTACGAAGTTGCTACCCGTGAAGACCAATAAGAGCACCCCTTCGCTGAAATAATAATTTTAACTGGTTCGTTCCATTCGCAAAGCGGAAAACCGCCTCGGCTCAGATCGCCGCCAGGTATGTGCGAACAAATGACAACTCTTGCTCCTTCGTCGTGATGTGGCGTACTGAGTGCGAAAGTGGTAACTGGGTTGCTGTCAGGTTCGGCTGTACGAAATGCATTTTCGTTACGGTGGATTCCAACCTGTGACTGGGGGTGAAGTGCCATCTGAGGCTGACGAGGCGACTCGCCATTGGCTTTAATTAACTATGAGCTATCAGGTCGGTGAAGTCTGGTGCAGTCTATATAAGAACGGTCTCATGCGGTAAGCCGTGGTTCTAACATTCGCTCCAGTGTTCAACCTCCTCCAAACCAAAACCTAATCACTTCCTGCCTGTCATTTCCCCAATCGCGGTGAGGCACGGCGCCCCACGTTTTCTTTGCATAACCGCATTGGACCGTTTTAGAACATATTCAACCGCAAGGAACGTACTTACCCCTGGTGGGTACTGTGTAAGAGCAGGCCAGGCTTGTTCATCCAGACACCCAGATCAGAGTTCCTAGAGGCCCTACTAGGAACTGTTCCTACTGCTACTACGGCCACAAAGTTGAGGCCTTACTGCGTCAAGACGTCATTTGGGTCGCATTGATCGCCTGAACCTTCCGCATTGATCGGAGGTCCTGGCCTAGGATCGAGGTATTTTTAATAGTAACTTTCCGCGGAGTTTAATCCTATTCCTTATTTTTCAGCTGTTCCAGGGGTTTCGTTTAGGCCGCAAGGCGAAGCAGGCGGCATGGTGAATCAGGAGCAGCTCGATTCGCACATCGCCCAGCTGCACGAATGCAAACCGCTCACCGAGGCCGAGGTTCGTGCGTCTTCCGCCGACTAAGTTCCGCGTATTGAGTTCCGCGTACTAAGTTCCGCATTTTAAGTTACGCGTACCTTGTCTATTTCAGTTCGGCTTCATTAGTTCGATATGTGCCTCATATAGCGTTGTCCGACTCTGTCACGTTTGTCGACCGCACGATCCCAGATGTTGACGCGTTCGAGTGTAGCATCTTCTCATGTTTAGCATCTTAGTGTAGTATCTTCGATCATGTTCGTGGGTATTCCGCGGCTTCGACTGTCCGCTTCTCCCTACCTGTTCCACATTTCAATTAGGGTATCGTTGTGACACGGCATTGCCCGCCCGTTATTTTCGCTAGTGACTTTTGAGTCGAGTCAAACGACGCCATTTCTAGGGTTTCAATGTGATGCGGCATTGTCCGTTCGTAATTTCCCGCTGCCGACTTTTGAGCCGACTCAATAGTATTTTTTCTAGGGTTTGAATGTTATGCGGCAATGTCCGCTCTTTTCGAAACACCTTATAATGGCACATCGTCCCCTCGTATTTGCCCTGCAGGTGAAGGCCCTCTGCGAGAAAGCCAGGGAGATTCTGGTGGAAGAGAGCAATGTGCAGGTAAGCGCTTTCGACTCAGCCTAGCGTTTCGACTGATCCTAGCATTTCGAGCCCATTTTTGACAACCTAGCATTTCGACTGAGCGTATATTTTTTTGTGGAAGAGGTTTCCCTAATGGGCCATTGATTTATAAGCGCATTGCGGCTGAGCCGAGCAATGTTAATCCACAGACAGCGCTCAAGAACTTTAGACGGTAGACCACAGACTTGAGCCTAGGATTCCTTTGTGAGACCAGTGGCTCTTGAGGCGGTATCATATCGCATTGTGCATTTGACACTGGCTCCACCGACCTAGTTAGGTTTTCTCCAATCGGCCTGATTCTATTTAGCGTCATTTAGGTTATTTCGCGTCACCTTCTTCACCACTCTTCAATTAGTATTGTCGCAATGTGTCCTTAAAACGGCAAATAACTCCATTCTCGTTTTATGGCGATTCTGGGTCTTCTTAATATGCGTCCTCGTTCAAAAGGCACATTGTGTGAAGTCCCATTCATCCCATTCCACCGGCTCCCATCTGCTCCCATCAAGCCCCAGCCTGTCAGGTGTCCGGTCAGGTCACCATCTGTGGCGAGTTGGCGCAAGAGAGACGTTATGGCCCATCTATTCCTGGCTGTTCCCATTTTGATCCCCTCTCTTCCCAGCCTGCCAGGTTTCCCGTCACCATCTGCAGCAACATTCACAAGCAGTTCCAGAGGCGCGGCGTTTTGTTTACCATCTAATGCCATCGCATACCATCTGCTCCCATCAAACCCCAGCCTGTCAGGTGTCCCGTCACCATCTGTGGCGACATTCACGGGCAATTCCACGACCTCTCCGAGCTGTTCCGCATTGGCGGCAAGGTATGCTCTTCTACTCATCGTGCGGGACTTGCTTAGTTGCTATGTTGAAAAAATGCACGCTTTTTCCAACATAGCTCAGTAGAGTTCATCTGTATCCCAGTTATTTTCCAACCACCTCTATCTGGAGGACTGTGCGGACAGAGCGGAGTGTTGAGGCAAGAAGATTCGCCTGGTACACCCCGAGTGTTGTGTCCACCTCTTCCCTTCCTCCCTTCCCTTCCCCTCGTCTCTTCCCATAATCCCCTTCGCTTCCCATGTGCCCAGTCGCCAGGCACCAAATACCCCTTCATGGGGGAATATGTCGACAGAGGCGAGTTTTGAAACAAGAAAAACAACCTGCCACGTCCTTTCCCTTCCTCCCTTCCGCTCGTCCCTTACCCCATCCCCTTCCCTTCCCATGTGCCCAGTCGCCAGACACCAACTACCTCTTCATGGGGGACTACGTCGATCGAGGCTACTACTCTGTCGAGACAGTGACTGTAAGCGTTCCCTCTTGCACCCCCTCTTCTCTTTCAAAAGTGATTTTTGAGTCGACTCAAAAATCTCTTGCGCCCCCTCTTCTCTTTCAAAAGTGATTTTTGAGTCGACTCAAAAATCTCTTGCGCCCCCTCTTCTCTTTCAAAACCGCCACTGCTGCTAGGCCGGCTTTTATGGCTTACTCAATCTGCTGTCTGTTTTCCCTCTGAACCTTCTCTTTTCTTTCAAATTCACAACTGCTAGGCCATGATTGAGGGTCCACCACCACCCTGATTTCTGTGGAGCTGTCTCTCCGCTCTCACCAAGTCCCTTTCCTCCCCCCTGATCCGCATCCCATGTTTCCCTCCCGCATGATTGCTCCGTGTTTCCCTCCTGCATGATTGCTCCGTGTATCCCTCCTGCATGATTGCTCCGTGTATCCCTCCTGCATGATTGCTCCGTGTTTCCCTCCTGCATGATTGCTCCGTGTTTCCCTCCTGCATGATTGCTCCGTGTTTCCCTCCTGCATGATTGCTCCGTGTTTCCCTCCTGCATTATTGCTCCGCGTTTCTCGGCCACAGCTGCTGGTGTCGTTGAAAGTGCGCCATCCTGACCGCATCACCATTCTCCGAGGGAACCACGAGAGCCGCCAAGTGCGTGCTGGTGGGAGCATGTGGGGGCATGTGGGGGCACGTGGGGGCACGTGGGTGCATGTGGTGCATGTGGTGCATGTCGTGCATGTGGGTGCATGTGGTGCATGTGGGTGTGAGTGGGTGTGTATGCATGCATGTCAATTCCGTGATTCCCTGCTCGTGTCATTGAAAAGTCCACCACCCCAATCGAATCACTCCCATCATCGAATCCCCAATTAGGGAACCGTGAGAACTGCCAGGTGCGCGCAGTCATGCAGGTGCGCGCAGTCGATTTTTTAGAATTCTCAAAAATCAACTTGCGTGCAGTCATGCTGAGTTTCCCCCCCATTCCCCCACTGCACTCTTGCCCATTCCCCCACCGCACTCTTGCCCATTCCCTCCCGCCCTCCCTCCCTCTGATGTTCATACCTCCTGCCTGCAGATCACGCAAGTCTATGGCTTCTACGATGAGTGCCTGCGCAAGTGAGTGCCTGATAGGAACCTCAGCATGGGGAATCGAGTCCCGGTACCTGCATGGATGTGGCTGCACGCACTTGCACCATTTTCTAGGGGCCTAAAGAATCGACGAGTGCGTGCGCAAAGGATTGCTTGCTAGGCTCTCTATGCGCAAGTGCACTTGCACAGACTTGCAAATCAGTTGCATTGCAGATCACACAAGTCCTCACGCTTAACCCTTAACCCCAACCCTAAACCCAAGTCATAAGCCTAAACCCTTAACCCTAGCCCGAAACCCAAGTCATAAGCCTAAACCCTTAACCCTAGCCCGAAACCCAAGTCACAAGCCTAAACCCTTAACCCTAGCCCGAAACCTAAGTCATGGCTTCTATTGACAGGTGTCTCCGCAAGTGAACGCCTTGTGTGCTGGTTTTCCTCGTATTGCCACGCCATGTCATCACACTCTATGCCATCACACGCCATGCCATCACACGCCATGCCATCACACGCCATGCCATCACACGCCATGCCATCACACGCCATGCCATCACACGCCATGCCATCATGCCGTGCCATCAACGCCATGACATCACGCCATGCCATAACACGCCATGCAGGTACGGCAAGGCGAGTGTGTGGGAGATGCCCACCGATCTCTTCAGCTACCTGGCATGGATCTGATCGGCTTCTCCTTTGAATCTTGCATACTGGCTGTGCTGCCCTGTACCTGCATATTGACCTCACCCCATCCATGCAGGTACGGCAGTGCGAGTGTGTGGAAGATGCTGACTGACCTCTTCGACTACTTCCCTGTCACCGCCGTGGTACGTTCTGCCCGGCGCGTTCTGCCCAGCGCGTTCTGCCCAGCGCTGTTGTGCCCAGCGCGTTCTGCCCAGCGCTGTTGTGCCCAGCGCGTTCTGCCCGGCGCGTTCTGCCCAGCGCTGTTGTGCCCAGCGCTGTTGTGCCCTGGTGGTGGTGAGAGGATGCGAGAGGTGCCAGCTTGGCCGCATCGAGCAGGTGTGCCACAGGGGGATTTTTTAGGGGCCTAAAAAATCGCTGTGCCCTGGTGGTAGACATGGGTATATCGCATCGCATCGCGACGCGATATATTGCATCGCGTTTTGCAATTGGGATTTTTATTTTTATATATATAAAAAAAATCTCAGCGATGTGATGCGATAATATCGCGCGATTTTTGTGATATCGCGCATTTATCGCGGATTTTTCAGTGTGATAAATCACGATATGCGATATTAATATATCGCGCGCCATACATCCGCATACCGCGTCGCGGAATTGCGCCAGACAGGGGGGGGAACATGGGCGTGGGCCCTGAACTTGGCAAAATTTAGGGTTCTCTGGTTGTAATGGCGTGCGGAAATTGGCCGCAGCTGTTTTGTTTGGGTTTGGCGTGATTGGCGGGGAGGTGTTTGTGAGGAGCTTGGAGAGGAAGGGTTGGAAATTCTAGCTGAAAAGGAGTGCAGTGCGGTTGAGGGAGGGGAGTTGGTTGGAGGTTCAAATTTTGACATGGGCGATGGTGGATGGAATGTGGTGGTGTGCGGTTAACGGGATTTAGGGGGTTGATTGAAATCTCGACCCCCACTAAGTCCATTGGTTGGAACTCCAACCAATTTCCACCACTTCAACGGCACTACATTTCTCCGCATCTACGGAATCCAACCCCTGCCCCTCTAACACGCTCTACATCAGAGAGGTGCCACTATATCCCATTCTCCCGTCAAACTTCACTCGCCTAATTCCTCGCGCACCTAGGAAAGCCGGCCTTGTCATTCTGATTTTCTCCTCCGACCCCTAAATGCGATGCGATATTAAATCGCATCGCGCGATATATCGCATTCATGGGTGCGATATTTTTTACCATCGCACCCTAGAAAGTGATATGCGATTTCAAAATTTGAAACAGAATATCGCAGCGATGCGATATCGCATCGCTGCGATATCACGCGCGATATAACAAAATGCAATGCGATATCGCATCGCATCGCATTTTAACCATGTCTACCTGGTGGTGAGAGGGTGTGAGAGGTAGACGTGATTCTACTGCTCAACATCCTCCCTCCCTCCACTGCTTTCCCTCACCTTCCTTCCCCCCACTTCTCCCCGCACCCCTCTCCATCACAGGTGGAGTCTGAGATCTTCTGCTTGCACGGGGGTCCATCCCCCACATCTATTGACTCGCTCGACCACATGCGGCAGCTCGACCGCATGCGGCAGCTCGACCGCATGCGGCAGCTCGACCGCATGCGGCAGCTCGACCGCATGCGGCAGCTCGACGACATCCGGCGGCTCGACCACATGCGGCAGCTCGACCGCATTCAGGCGATGTCTAACGACGAGGGGCCCATGTGCGACCCGCCTCTACTGTTTCCCACCTCCCTCTCTTTTTTCCTCCTCTGCTCCCTCTCCTTCCAATGCAGGTGGAGTCCGAGATCTTCTGCTTGCACGGGGGGCTATCCCCATCCATTGACTCGCTCGACCACGTGCGCCAGCTTGACCGCATCCAGGAGGTGCCCCACGAGGGGCCCATGTGCGACCTGCTCTGGTCAGACCCCGACGACCGCTGCGGCTGGGGCATTTCCCCCCGTGGTGCTGGCTATACCTTCGGCCAGGTAGGAATATTGCGCAGGGAACCTTTGGCCAGGTAGGAATATTGCGCAGGGAACCTTCGGCCAGGTAGGAATGTTGCGCAGGGAACCTTTGGCCAGGGTTGTATCAAAGGTGCCTCACAGGGTGCCCCTCGAGGGGCCCATGTGCGACCTGCTCTGGTCGGACCCCGACGACCGCTGCGGCTGGGGGATTTCGCCTTGCTGTTCTGGCTATACCTTTGGGCAGGCGCGGATGGTGTGTGTATAGGATGACATGCAATGGCATAACGCCATGTGCGACCTGCTCTGGTCGGACCTCGACGACCGCTGTGGCTGGGGGATTTCGCCACGTGGCGCTGGCTACACATTCGGGCAGGTAGGGACAGTGGTGGTGCTGGATAGGGTGCCAGCTAGGGATGGTATCTAAGGTTTTCACAAGGTGCCCCACGAGGGGCCCACGTGCCACCTGCTCTGGTTGGTTCTGACGACCGCTGCGGCTGGTTCGTCTCTCCCCGCAGTGCTGGGTACACCTTCGGGCAGGTATGGATAGCTGTTTGAATACTGCTGCTGCTTAGAGGGGCCTCATGACTTGCTCCCCACCATCCCCCCCCCATCCCCCCTCCACCCCCCTCCCATCCCCCTCCAACCTCCCCTCCATTCCCCCCCATCCCCCTCTTCCAGGGCATATCAGAGCAGTTCACCAGCAACAGCAGGCTGAAGCTGGTGGTACAAGGTGGCTAGTGATTCGACCCATATGTGCATCTGTCATGTATTCCCAAACCCACCAACCCCCCCACCCCCCCGGTTCCCCCACATCCCCCCCCCATCCCCCTCGTCCAGGACATATCAGAGCAGTTCAACCACAACAATGGGCTGAAGCTGGTGGCACGGGCGCATCAACTAGTTATGGAGGGATACAACTGGGCGCATGTGAGTATTTTTCCATTTTGCCGCTCGGAACGTTTCATCCTTCTGATATATTCACACAAGGTCACATTTTGCCTCACGTGTACCCTACATCACATGCACCTTACCTCACATGCAACCCACCTCACATGCACTCTACCTCACATGCACCCTACCTCACGTGCACTTGACCTCGCAGGCACCTTGTCTCACATGTATGCACCCGACCTCAGATGCACCCTGGCTCACACACATACACCCTACTACCATGCATTCTCCCTGCCTCACGCATGTGCCCCCCACCAGGCGCAAAAGGTTGTCACCATTTTCAGCGCACCCAACCCACCTCACATCCACTCTGCCTCACTTGTATCCCCCCTGCCTCACGTCCTCCCTGCCTCACGTCCTCCCTGCCTCACGTCCTCCCTGCCTCACGTCCTCCCTGCCTCACGTCCTCCCTGCCCCACGCCCTCCCTGCCTCACGTCCTCCCTGCCTCACGTCCTCCCTGCTCCACGCCCTCCCTGCCCCACGTCCTCCCTGCCTCACGTCCTCCCTGCCCCACGCCCTCCCTGCCTCACGTCCTCCCTACACCACGACCTCCCTGGCTTACGTCCTCCCTGCCTCACGTCCTCCCTGCCCCACGCCCTCTCTGCCTCACGTCGTCCCTACACCACATCCTCCCTGCCTCATGTATCTACCCCCCACCAGGAGCAAAAGGTGGTGACCATTTTCAGCGCACCCAACTACTGCTACCGCTGCGGCAACATGGCGGCTATTCTGGAGGTGGATGACGCCATGGGCCACACCTTCATTCAGGTACGACCTACCCCGCATGCACCCTGGATGGATGGCGCACCCTCATCCCGGGTGCAACCTACTCTACATGCACCCTACCCCACATGCCACCTGCATGGATGGCACGCCTTCATCCAGGCATGACCTATACCCCACATACCGCCCCCTGGATGCCAATTGTTACGAAACGCCGCAGAATACCATCAAAATGCCAACCGGTTTTTCCTTCGAGTAAACCTTCTCATCGCTTCTCACACGTGCTTATGATCCAGTTCGTCATGCTCAAGGTGTACTCTTTATAATTCAGCAATCGAGCTTTAAAACATGGCTGCCATATTATGAGACCTAGTTATGTCTGCACCGCACCTACTTTTTATTTTTATTTACGCATTACTTTTAAGCCGGCACCCAGCAATGGAGAGCCGGACATCTTAAAAAAAAAAACTAACACACCCAGCAGAGGAGAGCCGGGCATTTGTAAGAAAAAAGCACCCGACTACTCCCACAGTGTTCTTCACTTCACCCCCTTTGCGCCTTTTGCCCTTACCCTGCTTTCTCCTTCTGCCCCTCGCTTCCCTTGCTCCTTCGTCCGTCCCCCCCCTTGTTCCTTCTTCCCTTACCCCCCTTGCACCTGCCGACTACTTCTCCTGCAGTTTGAGCCGGCTCCCAGAAGAGGCGAGCCAGACATCAGCAGGAGAACACCCGACTACTTCCTTTGAGGCTGCCCGGACTAATTTCTTTGAGGCGTTTCAATGATTTTAGTAACCATGGAGTATGGATGTCATAGAAGCCGCTCTTGCATGTTCTTTCCTTCTAGCCAGGTGGCTCGATTTACTACAGTAGACATACTGCACTTGATTCTAGATATCTACCAAGCAGTTCATATGGCCGTAGTGGCTTAGAGCGTGTTCCTACGAGCCTCTTCCCAGGCAACCTCTTCCTAGACTCATGCGCGACCTTGAGAGCATGTTTCCAGGACCACTTTTTGGAATACTCCCGTTTCATATTTGCCTTCCGTCGCTCTCAACCACATAAAACCAGCTGGCGACGAAATTTTACTTAGCAGATTCGCGCTTGTCTGAAAACCTGCTCGTCTGAAAAGAGGTTTTAAAACATGTAATTTTTAGAAAGTGTGTAACACTTTCTAAAAATGTGTATTGTGAGAGTGTAGCGAGGGCCAACGCAGCAAAGGTAGCGACGAAGCGCTACTCACCCTCTTTTGCCTACAAAACAGGGACGTGAGGCCATTCGGCCTCACCCACGTTCTTCATTTCTAGTTTCTCTAGTTCAATTTCCCCAGTTTCTCGTCCAACCTGGCGAAGACCCAGTCCCTCCCCCGAGGCAAGGCTCCGACGACGCTCCTCACCGACATTTTGCAGCACAACCTCGCTAACATGGCGTCGGCGAACACGACTCTGAATCGTCCGACGAACAACCCCAACAATTATGTGGAGCCCGGAACTTCGGCCGGGGCAACCGCCCGTCGCCAGAAACGTCCTGCTGAGGAAATTTTTGGCGAGGGGCCCTCGGCTGTGGAGGTCCTGCTTGGCGCCAATCGCGCTGCTCCAGAAGAAACTCGCGCGGCTGCTTCGCAGCCGCGCGAGCTGCCAACGGAGGACCACGCGCCTGCGCACGTCGCGACGGCTGCAGGCCACGCGGGCCCCACCGAGCACACGCCCTTTGACGAGGACGTGCCAGCCGCCGCCGCCGCCCCCGCGTTGACCGCACAACAACTCCAGGCGCTTTTGGCGCTGTTACACCAGCAACCGAATGTTACGCGCGGAACATCTTCGGACAATATAACTGCTACGACCAATTTCGCCAAGAAGAAAGAAATGCCGCCACCTACTCGCGCGCCGAAAGCTCCGCGCGTCGACAACCAGCCCCCGGCACCGACTCCCGCACTCGCCAATGACACCGACGACAGCGACGACTCTGAAAACGATGATGGTGAGGCTCCTGCCAATATTGCTCGCCATCGCATTCTCGCCCCCGCCCCCCTCTTCCCCCCCTTGGTCCTACGCCCGCAGCAACTACGTTCATGCGTAAGGGCGTGCGCGACCAGGCCGAAGTCTTCACTGCTATCCAAGCGCACCTGCAGCACATCGACTTCGAGCTGCAGCACGGCAACGTCACCGGCGCACTCAACAACGTGAAACACATCGAGACGCTTATTAATAAGCGTTTCGAGGTGCTTCTCGTGGCGGATGAGGCCGGCTTTGAGGCCGCTGATCGCTTCCAGCTCTACCAGTCCAAGAGTGTGCTGACGTCCCGTTCCTATAAGCTGGCGGTCGCCGACGTGGCTGCACTCAAGCGCGCACGCGCCATCTACCCCCGTGGTGGTCGTCCCGGCGGTCGTGACGGAGAAATGGACCTCAAAGGCTCCCCCCAGCAGCCACGCTTCAAGGGCGTGTGCTTCCGCTGTGGCCAGCCAGGTCACGTGGCTAACGCGTGCCCCATGGGCGGGCGTGGTGCACAAGGCCCCTCACCGGTGGTGTGAGCGGGGGTAAGGGCGGTGCCCTTCGCCAATATGCAAGAAGCATATTGGGCTGCACCGGGGGTGCATGGCTGGTGGCCGGCCTTAGGACAAGGCAAATGGCCTAGTAGACTAGGGTAGCCCTAGGGGCAGAGAAGGCCGTGGGCCTAGGACCTTGCGTTATTCCATGTATGGATCATGCATACCGTTATGGCGCGTTGAAACGAAGATTGCAAAAAAAAAAAAAAAAAACTTTTGCAAGGCCTCGATGAAAGAGAGAAAGAGAGAGGGCAAGAGAAACAGAGAGAGAGCGAGAGAGAGAGAGAGAGAGAGAGAGAGAGAGAGAGAGAGAGAGAGAGAGAGAGAGAGAGAGAGAGAGAGAGAGAGAGGGAGGGAGAGAGAGAGAGAGAGAGAGAGAGAGAGAGAGAGAGAGAGAGAGAGAGAGAGAGAGAGAGAGAGAGAGAGAGAGAGAAACAGAGGTCAAGAAAGAGGTAGAAAGAGCGGTATACATATATATATAGAGAGAGAGAGAATGGATGAGAGAGGGAGAGAGAGCATAAGAGAAAGCAAAGGGAAAGAGCACAAGAGAAAGAGAGAGAGAAAAAAAGAGATAGAAAGAGCGAAAGAAAGAAAGTGAGTATGCGTGTGTCTATGAGAGAGAGAGAGAGAGAGAGAAGAGAGAGAGAGAGAGGAGAGAGAGAGAGAGAGAGAGAGAGAGAGAGAGAGAGGAGAGGAGAGAGAGAGAGAGAGAGAGAGAGAGAGAGAGAGAGAAGAGAGAGAGAGAGGAGAGAGAGAGAGAGAGAGAGAGAGAGAAGAGAGAGAGAGAGAGAGAGAAGAGAGAGAGAGAGAGAGAGAGAGAGAGGAGAGAGAGAGAGAGAGAGAGAGAGAGAGAGAGAGAGAGAGAGAGAGAGAGAGAGAGAGAGAGAGAGAAAGAGCGAGAGAGAAAGAGTGAGAGAGAGAGAAAGAGAGAGAGAGAGCAAGAGAGAGAGAGAGAGAGAGAGAGAGAGAGAGAGAGAGAGAGAGAGAGAGAGAGAGAGAGAGAGAGAGAGAGAGAGAGAGAGAGAGAGAGAGGTGACGAAGGCTCGAGCGCTAAAGGGAGAAGGCATGAATATCAGCCATGCCCCTTTTGCAATTGAACATGAGCCACTCTTGCTTTGCCAACTGAATGGGAGCTATGCCCCCCCTGGAATCGACTATGACACATCCACCCTTAGGCAATTGTCTGGTCTCACTCACTTGGGTACCTATGTGATTCTTGCCACCCGACCCTTTGGTCCAGCAGAAATTGGGAAAGGATGGTTACACAACGAACATGACCCGTACGAGTACGCGGTTACAGACAAGGACGTAACTGTCATGCATAGTCGATTGCGTCACGCCCTACACTGGTGGTGCTCATGGTGCGATAGCAGTTTCATCCTGTCCATCATCGCGAAAGGATATTGGCTTCCCTGGAAGGAAGCCGTGCCACATGCCTTTGAGGATAGCAATCATGTTGGAGTTCACACACACCCGGACTTCACTCGTGGAGCCATTCGCGACCTCGTCACCTCGGGTGCCGCCATCAAGGTCCCTACGAAGGATGCGCTCATGTGTGTCAGTCCACTTAACGTGGTGGAGCAGCGTGACAAGTGTCGCCTCATTCTTGACTTGCGCAAAGTCAACAACTACCTCGACATCCCCAAGTTCAAGTACGAAGGCTTGAACAGGGTAGCCGAACTCATCCGCCCAGGCGATTGGATGTTCTCCATCGACCTAAAGTCAGGCTACCACCATGTCGAGATCCACCCCTCCTGCTGGAAGTTCTTGGGATTCCAGTTCGAAGGAGACTACTATTCCTTCATATCGCTCCCGTTCGGGCTTGCCACTGCCCCGTTCGTCTTCACACAACTGATCAAACAACTGGCAAAGCGATGGCGGGCAAGCGGCGTGCGGGTTGTTCCATATGTCGACGACTTACTATTCCTCTGCAACTCCCACTCGGATGCACGCTCCATCTGCGCAGCTGTTGTTAAGGACCTGAAGGCAGCACGTTTTGTTATAAACGGCAAAAAGTCACATCTACACCCCTCGCGCAAGATAGCTTTCCTCGGCCTGGAAATTGATGCCGCCCAAGGCACCTTCTCCGTCGGACTCGAACGTCGAGCACAACTTTTTGCTTCACTCCAAGCCCTCATCACCCAGGGACAAGAGGGACGACCGGTTCCCATCCGGTCCCTTGCGAGAATCACAGGAATGCTGGCCTCCATGAATCAGGCATTGGGTGCTACGGCACGTGCCTTTAGTCACGAGCTCCTTTGACTTATTGCAGACGCCACCTCTTGGCACGCCAAGGCACACTTGTCGTCGACAGCAGTGCACGAGCTGCATTTTTGGCTTGCGCAGTTCGACAAGTTCAACGGAAACCCATTCCATCTCAGTCACCAGTTTGATGCCGTCATCCACGTCGATGCAAGCGCACACAGCTGGGGTGCCACCCTGACACAACTTCCTGGGACGCCCATTGAAGCCAGTGCTCGCATGCCCGAGGAACTACTGCCCACCTCCAGCACTCGACGGGAACTCGAAGGAGTTTTATGGGCTCTCCGAACTTTCGCTGCCCGCATACCCAAGCGCCACGTACTCGTTCGGGTAGACAATCAAGGCGTGGTATTCATCCTACGCAAAGGTGGATCGCGCCACCCCACGCTTACGCTACTGTGTTAAGCAATCATTCGCCTCTGCCTGGAACACCAAACAAGGCTAGCTGTCGAATGGATCCCACGAGAGCTGAATGCGCACGCCGACGAACTTTCAAAAATCCAAGACCACGATGACTACTCCCTCAAAGCCCCGTGGTTCCGGCACTTGGATCGCCGCCTGGGTCCCCACTCTATCAATCTCTTCGCAAATGTGCACAACGCTCAGCTGGAGAGGTTTTGTTCCAAGATTCCACACCCTACGGCCGCAGTGTTTGACGCATTTTTGTTCAGCTGGCAGCACGAGCGCGGCTTTGCGTTTCCCCCTCCCAACCTCATTCCAGCCACCTTACGACACGCTAAACGCACACACGCTGAGGTGACCTTGGTCATTCCCGAGTGGCCGGGAGCCTCATGGTGGCCACTCCTCCAACAGGCATCTGACGCTTGGGTGCCAGAAGTAACGGCACACATTCCCCTCACCCACGGCAACCAATGCCTACGCCCCGGCACACACGCACTCGCTTTCACAGGACAAGGCTTTCCTCCTAGTAAGATGATTGCACTGCATGTCACGTATAAAAATTAATAATAATTGTACTCTACGCTGTACCCTTTCAGGCATTATAACGAAGCTGCAAACACAACTACTACACGTAATCACCCATGTCCGTGCCCCTTCCACCATCCGAACGTATGAGCCCTACTGGCTCAAATTTCGCTCCTTCTGCATGAAGGTGAAGTTGAGCTACTTGCCTGCAACGGATATGACCTTGGCACTCTACCTCATTCATGCACTACGTCACCAGGCCACCACATCTGCCATATCGCTTACATGCTCCGCCGTCGCCTTCGCGCATCGCATGACTGGCGAGCCCTCTCCCTCGACTGGACCATTTACACTACAAGTGCGCGAATTTGCCAAACGCCATGGCCCGCGCCCCACCCGGAACAAGGAACCTTTGTCGCTGCACCAAGTGCACACCATGGCCCCCCCCTTTCTGGAGTCCACCCGGCCGGCCGAATACCAGAAAGGACTCATCCCCATCCTTATGTTCGCCGCCTTCCTACACTACTCCGACCTTGTCAGTCCCCAATGGCATGACATACAGTTTGAGCCGGAGGCGATGTGGTTGCTCATCCCGCACTCCAAGACCGACCAGGAAAGCAGGGGCACGTGGATTCCAGTCACCGCCACTTCTGGCCCATACTGCCCGGTACGCTGCACACGACACTTTCTTCTCACCCACGTTCTTCTCACCCACGTTCTTCATTTCTAGTTTCTCTAGTTCAATTTCCCCGCCCACCCACCCTCTTGTGTGTAGTTCTTTGTTGGACGAGAACCATGTATGTTTCCCAGATGAAATGAAGCACGCTGCCTTTACAAGAGGACCTAAGCAAACTTTCACAATACGCCCCTGAATCTCGGGAGGCCGAATCTCACTTCACGGAATCGCACTGAAACATTTCGCGTCAAAATTTGCGACACAGTAACACGCGAGTCTGGGAAGAGGTTGCTTGGGAAGAGGCTGGTAGGAACACACTCTTATACTTCCTACAAGTGCTCTATGTATGAGACATGGCTGTCCCAGCCACACCAGATCACACATGTAGTGTTTGGAGGCAAATCATTACAAGGAAATGGTTTCACTGCCTACACTTTGCTTTCAGGGTGCTAATTTGCTAAAGCATTGTTAGTTACACTGCTAGGATACACTAAATCCTTGCACTGAACCGAAGCATTACTGTACCCCCCTAAGCCAAAACCTTTTTGCCTTACCGTATCATTGCTGCACGCAATTGGATTGGATCACATACCGGTACCTCTTAGAAACATAGCCGCTAACCATTATGCTAAAAGGGCTTGATACCGTATTTACCCGGCTAAAATACCCCTAGGGTTTTATCCTGCCCTGTTTTTTTTAGGGGGTGTGTCTTTAATCGGAGGCAATTACATAAGACCCGGGGTCTATGTTATACACGTGAAATTACAACAACCCAGGTAGAAGAATGTTACAGCAGCCCGCTGAATCCGCCACCGAGGCCTGGAGGTGCAGCTAGGGTGACGCGAGACATGCTTCCTCAGATCGCGCTTGGAAAACATCGCTTCTCGGGGCGCTCCAAATGGGGCCACCTAATTGGCCGACGCAAAAATGGCGCGAATTGTGCTGATGCAGACAATCAGGTCAACCCCAAGGAAAGGGGTCTTATCCCGTAAGCGCCAAAAAGGGGGGTCCTCAATTTCTGGTTGCACAGGATAAGACCCACCCTGTTATAAAGACCCATGGGGCTTCAATTACAGGGAGTCTTTTAGCCAGGTAAATACGGTAAATAGCGGGTCAGCGCGCCCATAGCAGGCATGCCGTTATCAAGGCATTTTATCTTGATTCCCTGATTTCACAATGTATTTTTCGCCAACCCTTAATTTTCAAAATTGGGTGTTTTTTAACCCTAGCCCCTTCAGGGTTGTATGTTTCTGAACACTTGGAATTTCAGGGTTTGCGTTATGACAAAAATGAGTTTCCAGGGAGTAACACGTACGAATCCTGATTGCAGCATCCTGCGACCCATGAGTTTCGGCGAAATGCCCTCTCTATTCGTGAGTGGTCCCAGGCCCATGAATACGACCAGCATGCATCACGTGGAGCACTTGGCAACTCTCCCGCCCTGTACACGCTGTATCTTGCCATTTCAACAACATTTCCAACCGTTAGGTGTAAGACGGTGCACTCTGTAATGCCCCAGCCTGGCAGTCGTGACTCAACAGGCAGCAGACGAGGACAGATTTTGATATTTTGATGATGGCGCACCCATGAAAATGCTGAGCGCTGCATCGTCAGCCTCTGTATGACATCATAGAGCCAATCAGCTCTCTGCATACGATGCAAGTGCAGGAGCGTCCCGCCATTGACGGTATCGCCATGGCGACGCGAGGTCCTGGATGTGTTGCGCGCCGTCCATGAAAAGCGGAAACTTGGGTTTCTTGGTCCCCTTCCCATCTTCTTCACCTGCCTCTCCTCCAACCCATCTCCTCCTTCTATTCACAGCGTAGATGTGAGCTGCTCCATTATTGTTTCTCGTCCAGTTTCGTCGCGCCTAGTTCTCGTTTCGATCGTCTCCGCCGCTACTAGCCATGGCGGGTGTAGGAGAGTCTCGTGAGTCTCTTACCGACGATGATGGTTCGGGAACAGCTAGGGACCCCCTCGCAGAGGTCCGTCGCATCAGCTGCGACGAGAGCACCAAACGTACTCGCGGTAAACATCTCATTAGGTCGAGGTCGATAGTGAGCTCAGTGGGATGCAGCGCGAGGAGAGCGTCGCGCGCAGGGGCGAGGCGGTCAAAGAGGCGGTCAGGGAGGCGGGTGGTGAGGAGGTAAAGGGTGATGTAGAGTAGGTGGGCGGGGTGTGCTCGGCGAGCTGGGCCTCGGTGCATGCCGCACGAAAGCGGGCCTCGAGGGAGCGCACGTGCGCGTCGAGATCCGCCACAGGGGAGAAGAAGGCCAAGTCAGGGATGAGGAACGGGAGGAGGAGGTGGCAGAGGGTGGTGGAGGACAGGGTCGAGTAGCGGGCGGCAAGTGCATTTCAGAGTTCCTGAGCCGAATCAAAGTGGGAGTGCTCGTCAACCGGCAGACTCCGAGTGATGACAACCTGCACGCCGGTATTGTGAGACTCCCAGATAGAGTGGGCGGTCCAAGCTGCTACCTCACACTGCGCGGACGTTGCCTCGGGGCCAAGGGGATCAAGATAGGGGGGGGGGGGGGGGGGGGCAGCTCACCAGTGACATGGGCCGCCAGTGAATTGCCCTCCACACGCTGACTCAGCAGTTGGCAGCGGAGAGAGGAAAGCCAGGCCGAGAAGCCCACCATGCGCCTTCAGCATCCAGCCAAAGGACATACATCGACGCTGAAGGGGTCATCATAATGGCAGAAGAATTAGGTGCCAGATGTACCCAAACAGGGGCTGAAGCTGGCAACAGCAGCTGACGGTGACAGACCTGACAGCAGCGGCAGCAGTAGAGCCGGCGATAGGGCCAGCAACAGGACCGGCGGCAGGTCCGGTGGCAGGTCCGGCGGCAGATGACAGGTGGCAAGCTGCAGCGATGGTGACAATGGCGCTAGTGGCCGCAGCTGCCGCTGCAGTGCAGTGCCGGGAGCTGCGGCTGCAGGGCGGGAAGCTAGGGCCGCGGGCGCAGCGGCGGCAGTGGCTGCTCTGGTGGCTGTGGGCAGCGCACCTGGCAGCTACTGCTCGCTGGCGGCGTGCAAGCTAGCAGGGAGGCTAGCAGGCTGGCGGTGTGCAAGCGGGCAGACAGCAGGCGGTAGGCCACGGGCGGCGAGCTGGCTGGCGGCGAGCGTGCGGGCAGGCAGCGGGTGGCGAGCTGGCTGGCGGCGGGTGAGGGGGCAGGCAGCGGGCAGCGAGCTGGCGGGTGGCGAGCGAGCAGGCATGTGGCGGGCAGCGACGAGCGGCTATGGCGGCTGCAGGAAGCGAGCGACAGGCGGCGGCTACAGGCAGCATGCAGCAGCGGCGCGAAGCGGGCGACGAGCAGCGGGCGGGACGCAGCGGGCGACGAGCAGCGGGCGGCACGCAGCGGGCAACGAGCGGCGGGTGGCGCGTAGCAGGCGGCATGCAGCGGGCGGTGCACAGCGGGCTGCGAGCAGTGGGCAGTGCGAGCACGAGCAGCGGGCAGCGCAGGCTAGGGCTACAGCGCAGGCTAGGGCTATGGCGCAGGCTAGGGCGGTAGACTAGGGCGCAGGCCAGGGCGGTAGACTAGGGTGTAGGCTAGGGCGGAAGGCTAGGGCAGAAGCGTGGAGGCTACGACCTAACCTAGTAATGATACCATGTCAAGATAGGAGAATAAATGAATAGGCACATGCAGAAAAGGGTTCCTATAGTAGTGTTGCACCCTCTATAGTCTACACCTAGTTAGCCTACAGTACATACATATATGTATGCTAGAAAACCATGTTTCCGCAAACCAAACCCATTCTCCAATGTCCATTCACCCAAAGCACTTTATGCTCTTCCTCAGACGAGCTTCTTCTTCCACCCTCCCCCCCCCCCCCTCAAACCACCCACCACTGCCCTTGCTAGCCACTCAACTCAACGCCATCCTTAGACCATAGAGAAAGCCTAACTTATGACAAAACTTGGCACCTGGTGTGCTTGTAGCAACTTTCTTGGGCATCACCAAATCAAAGACTGCTCCTGATCACAACATGTCCTTGTTTCTTATTGGGTTTCATTGCATGTTTGATTTCCAATCCACCCACCCACCCACCCACCCATCCATCCAGCGGTCGCAGCTGCCTGCCGCAGCCGCTGGTCGCTGCCTGTTGGCTGCCCGCAGCGACCAGCCGCAGCAGCTGCTCACCGCCTGTTGCCTGCCCGCAGCCACCAGCCGCGGCCGCCAGCCGCAGCTGCAGCTAGCACTGTCTATCGCCTCTAGGTCCCGATTCTCCTCCTCCTCGTGTTTAATGGCTCCTAGCCGCCTACTGCCGGACCTGTCGCTCGACCTATCGTCAGACCTGTCACTGGACGCCAAAGGCCGGGCGACCGTCTTCACTCCCAGGCTTCTCGCTCTCCGCCAGCAGCTGTTGAGCCAGCGAGTGGACAGCGAGCTGCGGGAGGCCCACATTACTGATGAGTTGCCGTCCCCCCACCC